ACTTTTTTGTTGTACGAATAAAATGAATGATTTTTCAGACTGAGAGGTTTATTGATAAGCCATGTCAGTCTGTAACAGAGTTAAAATTTGTTTGGAACTAAATTTCGCCCGCGACGCCATTCGCGTAAAAAAAACAAAAGTGAGTAGCCTATGTGTTCTTCCAGACTATCCTCTACGTTTATGCCAAATTTCATCGAGATCCATTCAGCCGTTGAGGCTACAAACTCTAACAAACATCCATCTAAATTTTCACAGACCATTCTAAACAATTTTACCTTTTTAAGGTTATGTTTTCAGACTTATTAAAAAAGATATGCATGTTTTTATGAATCCGTTGTTTAACCAAAACGGATATCATTTCTTATTGAATATTTATTTTTCATGTTATCTGGTGTTGTGGATGTCCATGAGCGTAGTTGACCACCTCGGTGTTCTAGCCGCTAGTTTACTCCCTTCTTTAATAAAAAAAATCAGTTTTCAAAACAAAAAAAAATTCCATATATTTTGTAAATTCAATTAGAATTTAACGAATTTATGAATTTATAACGAAAAATTTATACATATGCAATAAAATACAAAACATATCTATCTTCTTTTATCTAAAATCTTACCTAATAATTTTCAAAGCCTAAGATTTAGTTTTTTTTTTTTCAAAAAGCTCTTAAGATAAAAGATCCGCATAATAACATAATTTTAAAATTAAAATTTAATAGCCTTCGGTTTTAACGAGTTTTGGATATCCAAATTAGGTTGTTTTTGTATTCAACATTCTTAAATTATACTATTAATAATGGGAAATTAAAAAATTAGTATGAATAGTTTAATGTTATTTATTAAACCTATTTATATAAAAAGATCTTGATTATGTTATTTACGATATCGATTTTAAATCTCAATATTTTTTTATTAAAAAAAAGTATAATAAAAAACATTACAATATGCCAATCCTGTTGCCCTTTGAGTTGTTTTAGGCTTAGGTTAAGAGTTAAAGTTTGCACTTTGTATATCAACTTAATAAGGGGAAGCCCCCTAGTGGCAGACACTTACGTTTTTAGGAAAAAATGAAAAATACTGTCCACAAAAATGTACCTTTATTGATATCTTGGTTAACTTGACAAATTACAAAATCGCTCAACTTCTTCATAAACTAACTGAAAATTAAAATCACATACTTATTATATGGTAGAAATTGACAGCTTACAGCCAAATATAAAACGACATTAAAATACGTAGTGTCTTAAACGTTACTACGGTCACTTTTAAACTACAAATTCTTCTAATACATTCATGTCTCACAGATTGTTAGCGAGTCCAAGTGTTTACAATTCCTACCAGAATACGGCTGTAACTTTCTTTAATCAGATATATCATTATAATCTAAAAAGATAATAATCATTCAAGAATATGACCGTTTAAAATATAGGGTTACTAATCTTATATCACTACAGACTCTCAAATGACACTCCAAAACGTGTTATGTTAAAGGTTTCGAACCCCTGCATACTATTCATTGATACAGCTGCAACGTCTTTAAAGGGACGCGAGACAATACGAAGGGCAGCCCTAAAGGTCACTGGGTTACAGCTGACTTCGGATACAATAAACGGAAGATTATACTTTGACTAAAGATAAACGGACTAAGCAAGCAGTCGTTGTTGTCCAAATAAAATTTTGCAATTTTTCTAGTAGAGTCTAGTATAGATGACAAACACGTCGATCTAAAACATAAAACGAACACACAACGAAAATAAGAATTAATTTGATAGATTATTGTCAAGAGACAAGTCCTGTCTTTTAAAAGTCCAAGTTCTCATCTGAAATTCAACCATAATGTAAACAATACCTTAATCGTTTTGCGTTACGGTTGGATTTACTTAGCGTCATACGACTGATAAGATTGGCCACATTTCGTCATTAAATCGTTAACTGAAGTAATGTATAAAATTTTTATCACCGGTTCCGTGGGAATTTCGACGTCGCCTAATCGAGAGAACTGGTTTCGCGTATTCGATGTAAATACTCGATTAATATTCACACTGAAAACCGTATCGAGTCGGCGTCTGCGCGGGCCGATGACACATGGCCATTGACATTCACGATTGCTATATGATCGATGTTTTACAATCAATTAAGATGGATTATGAATCGGTTTATGTTTTCGGTTACGATTCTATTCTTAAATGTAAATATGTAGCCATTTTAGTGAACTGAATTAGGGCGAGCATAAAAACTGTATACATGCAGATCGTAAATGTCTAAAGATATGTAGAAACTGTAAGAAATGGTGTTTTACTGTAAGTTATACATATGATGGTGCTTTAAATAAGTATCTAGACAACTTTTAACTTCACATGGAACTTATAAAGTCTTTTGCGAATAGATAATTGTAAATCATTTTGTAAGAGAATATCTCCATACTTTTTGTTATGCAGGATGTCAGCAGTCACAGTAAATTTTAAATAAAAATATGAAGCCTTTTTAAGTAGTTTTAAGAAGACAACTTAGAAAAAAAAAACTGAAAACTAAGCACAATCATTCTATGCCTATAAAAGCAAAGTTACTACTTTACTCTGAGCGTTTCGCGACCGCAAAGCTCAAGCCGAAAGCTTAGCGTCGATGTAATCTGCGTGAAAGCTTCTGAAGCAGATAGGCGGTTACAAAGGTAATAGGCGTGTCGCTTACAAGGCGGAGCTTGCCATTCTCCGGTACACTCGCGTACAAAATTCTAACATGAACTTTAGTTCAATGCATTAGAGTTCAACGCTTATGTGCGCGATTGTACATTGACTAGCCTTTTGTATTGGAATTAGCCGCCTATTAGACAAAGTGGGGGCGAAGTGTTTGCGGTTCTAAGTAATAACTTATGTTGTGTACTTAAGGTAGTAAATAAACAGGATGTAAATACTCTGATGTTTTAAACGGTTTGCTCTGTTTATGTTAAATACTAAACGCCTTAAACTAACAGTGGGTTTCCACTGTTGAAGCTTTAGTTTAAAAAAATATTTTAATGATGCAACACCGCTCTTGATTGAATTCATAATCTAGATTCAGAATTAAAGTACGGTTTTTAATTAATGCAAAATTATATAATTTTATATTATATAAGACTAGCTTTTGCGTGCGACTCTGTCCCCGTGGAATTAAAAAAAAAAACGTTGTGAAATATAACCTATGTTACTCACAGATAAATTACCTTTCGAACGGTGAATGAAGTTTTAAAATCGGCCAAGTAGTTTTTGAGCCTATTCATTACAATCAAAGAAACAAAGTTTTCCACTTTATACGATAATAAAATATGCTTATGTTAATGTAAATATAGACTATTAATTATTAATTAAATTTGTTTTATTAATTTTACATATCGTTTTGTAACTCGATATTTTATTTTGTGAATAATCACAAATTTTTGATTAATCTAATAGTGTTTTATTTAAGTCAATTTATTCATTGAATTAATAATTAATGAATTGAGGAACTAGATAAATAACTAATATGCTTACTTGATAAATTGAAAATATCATAGTGCGTGCAATAGACTTAATTAAAAAAAAATGAAGATACAAACCTCCTTCGGCATTTTTAAAATCCTAACAAAATATAATTAAATCTAGTCAGTTGTTTAAGAGCGTCGGTGACTCAGTGGTTTAAGCACTTGACTTGTAATCTACAGGTCTTGGGTTCTCGAATCCCGCCACGTACCAATGTGATTTTCGATTTTTAGAATTATCATATGTACATAATTTACCCGACGTTCTTACGGTGAAGGAAAACATCGTGATGCAACCTGCACATATCGGCGAGGAAATTCAAAGATATGTGTGAAGTCAACCAACCCGCCCTGGGACAGGGTGGTTGACTATGGCCTAATCACCCTAATTTAGGGTAGGCTCCCTCGATGGGGACATACAGTGAGTTGTTTAAGAACTTGTAAATGACGAACATACAAATGTGAAAAATTATTTGTTTTATATTGAATTTCGACATGTCAATAATAAAGGTAAAAATCCATACCCTGACCATTCTTAAATAATGTCGTAAGATATTATTACGTTTGTTGAAGCGATAAAACTTAAAATGAAATTGGATCCTGTTGATTTAATATAATCAGTATCTTAGAAATTTGAGCTTAGTTTTAATATTCAATATTTAATTTAGTTTATTGGACTATCAAGTTATCTTCTATTTCCTAATCATTTTATTTATTTAATTAAGGCGTTGGAGGTTCTATTTTTAAAATAAAAAGTTGTTTAAAGTTAGTTTTGACACATAGCGCCATCTAGTGTAGATGTGTGTTAACGTCAACAGTTTTGAAACTGTGTGGTTTTCGATAACACTTTTCCTACCACACAATTTCTAAAATAAAATTTCCGATATGCAAAGACAGGCTCTATGAAATTTACGTGTCTACAAAATTTATATTCTCAATTGGAATTTTTAAGTCTTCTAAAAGGAGGTGGTATTCGATTTGTCTGTATGTTATTTTTCTGACTCTATACTATTTTATATATAATCGGCATTAGAGATTCAATCCTTCAAATCAATACATGTTTCATTACAGTATTCTCTAGATATTAACTTGGAATATATATTTATATACGGTTTGCTATTGTATCTTTAATCTACAAAGTGAGGGAAAAAAGGTCTCCCGCATCTTTGGATTGATGTTATTTTCCTCATTGTTGTCTAAATAACCAAATGACATTTAAAAATATCACGATTAGACGTTGTTTTATGTGATCATCTCCCCTGCCTTATCCTACACTCGTAGGTCGGCGCACAGTGTTTTCGTCCTCCAAAGCACTCTATCATCCGTCATCTCAGTCATCATACTTCTTGATCATGTCACCTTTCACGCAATCCATCCATCTCTTTCTAGGTCTACCTCTACCGGTGTACCCCTCCACATTCCTAACTATGACGTTGTTTTATGTAACACATGGTATATAGGTTATGTATATTTCTATCACGCAATCAGTAATCTACTGTCATTTGTTATACAGTGCGCGGCGGGGGCGGGCGTGTTCGAGCTGCAGATCCTCGAGTTCTCCAACTACCGTCTGCAGCTAGCATCAGGCGGGTGCTGCGGGGGCGCTGCACCAGGGGCAGCAGGCTGTGCGCGTGCCTGTCGCACTCGCTTTGCTCTGTGCCTCAAGGAATATCAGTCTGCTGCAGCACCAGGCGCTTGCTCATTCGGTAGAGCAGCTTCTCCTGTGCTGGGAACGGATTCGTTTACGCTAGCTGATCCTCTTTACACATTAGCGCTGCCGTTCTCTTTTAGATGGACTGTGAGTATTTTAAGTATAAAATTATGGGATAATGCAAGTCAAATTATAAGTTTTTTGTTTATTGTCTAAGATCATTGGTCAATAATATTAAGGAAATAAAATGACCCAAAATGTATATGTTAAAATAACAATGACAAAGTTATTTATATAATAACATTTTGTAAAAAATGTTAGATGATTGATATCTAAATATATTTGAATTTACTGTGACTTGGCCCTTGGTTTTGCTAACGGCATTTTTTTTATTTACAGCGTTCGTTTACATTAATTTTACAAGCCTACGATGACTTCAATTACACAGATCCAGGTAAATAATTTTAAATCTCCATAAAAATAATAAAATAATTTATTTAGACCCACAGTTTATTCAAGTATTTTAACAATTCCTTATTCAAAATTTCGAGATCATATTAGTGTTTCACTTTTTTATTTTATTTAGCAATGTTTTATGATAACATTTTTATAACTATTAGTCAAACGGATTTGATATTTCAAATACAAGTAGCGCCATCTCTTGATGCACATGCAACTATCCAATGCTGTAACTGACAGCGAAGTTATGTGTATGATTCCAAGTTATTAATCACAATCAATTATCTGTTTAGATGTATATATCATTGCTTAGAAATTATAGTTTATTTTGATATTCTTGATAGTTCAATCTATCTTTATTTAGTTCGAATCCTGACCACTGCTGATCTGCAACCAAGCACTTAAAATGGTGGAAAACAAATAGCCACAAAACAGTACTACTTATAGCCTCTCCATTTATAAAGTCAGTGACCTTATTGTTGTTTTCATTTGTTTTCAGAAGAAACAGGACTTATAGAGGAGGCATGGTGGTCAGGTATAGTTGAACCGGGGGAGGAATGGCATGCATTACGTCACGCCGGCGCGGCCGCGGCGGTAGCTTACCGTGTCCGAGTGACTTGCCAAGCAAACTACTACAATACTACTTGCACTACCTTCTGTCGGCCACGAGATGACAAATTTGGACACTATTCCTGCTCCTCGGAAGGTGATAAGAGATGTCTACCCGGATGGCAAGGAGACAACTGTGAGAAACGTAAGTTTTTGTGATTTAATTTACTTTAAATCCGTACAAAAGCCCCTAAACTTCAAAAATTTACATCTACCTATTATCTTGAGCATTTTATTTTACATTTGCTGTTGCTCGCGACTTAGATCCCGAGATAATAAAATATAGTCATGTTACTCACAGATAAATTACCTTTCTAAGGGTGAAAGAATTTTTTAAATCGGACTAGTAGTTTTTGAGTTATTACAATACATACAAAAATGCAAATCTTTCCACTTTATAATATTAGTATAGTCTAAGTATATATGTATAGATTTCTGTAATATACTACTAATTTCTAAAATGTAATATTTTATTTTTAGCTGTGTGCAAGGAAGGATGTCACCCTACGCACGGACGTTGCGATCATCCAGGAGATTGCGAGTAAGTTTTTACAAGTTTATACAAGTTTATAATGCTTTTTTAAAATAATATTTATACCTCTAAACCTAACTATAAAAGGGACCAATCTGTAAAATGGATTAAAATGTCTTACCGACTCTCCCGTTAACCTAATGAACATCATGATTTCACCAGTATATCGGACTTAACCTTCGAAGCTAACATTTTTATAGCCTGTTTAACTTATTAGCCTGTTATCATTATATTGTTATGTTACAGTTGTCGTCCGGGCTGGCGCGGCGAGCTATGCTCTCAGTGCCAGCCGTACCCAGGCTGCAAGCACGGCTACTGCAATGGTTCCTCCTGGGACTGCACTTGCGATACCAACTGGGGTGGCATCCTCTGTGATCAAGGTATATACAATTATACAAGTATTAATTACAACATATAGGATTTTTAAAATGTAGAAAATGTTTTGCATATATCAGAGTAGTTTCAAAAGTCCCCAATAGATGGCGCTGTACCGTTGAAAGACAAGCTATAGAAGTGTTATAATCTAAATGTAAGGTCTACGGATAAACGTTTTTTGTTCGTTTACTTAAAACTATCCCTTATCCTTTTTCTACATAAATAAACTTTTTGGAGAAATAGTTTGCGTTTAAGCAAACAATCGAAAATATTTAAGTTAAGTAGCCTTTATGATTGATCAGACGGACGGATATTTGTTGTTGGATCTTGTTGGTTTCTGTTCACTCACTGTATAATTGAGTAGTACCAATACCTACCACATTTAGGTACATTTTAGAACTGGTACTCGTGACAACGTCCACGTGGAATTTAAAAGAAACAATAGAAATTATAGCAATAAAGTTAACATTTTAACAGTGAAAGAAGTTTTGAAATCGGTCCAGTATTTTTTGTGTTATTTCAAAAAATACAGAAATCCGAAAATATAATTCATTATACCATAACGTTTAAAATAATCGTACATTTACAGATCTTAATTACTGCGGTACCCACGAGCCTTGCCAACATGGCGGTACCTGCGAGAATACAGCACCGGACCAGTATCTTTGTACTTGTGCTGAGGGCTTCTCTGGAGTCGATTGTGAAAGGGTGGACAATCCCTGCGCGCCCCAGCCCTGCGCACATGGTTCCTGTGCACTAGCGTCTTCACCTCCTGGGTTTGTCTGCGGCTGCGAGCCAGGATGGACAGGGAAGCTGTGCGATGCGGATGTAGACGACTGTGCTAGTTCTCCGTGTAGGAATGGCGGACTCTGTCGTGACAGGCTTAACGCTTTCTCTTGTGAATGTACCACTGGCTGGACTGGACCTACTTGTACTGATGGTAGGTATTGTAATTATTTTTTTAGTTGAAGGTAGACCAGTGTGATTTCATCATATCAAACCGCACCTTTCATTGGTTTTAAAGAAGTTTTACTCTAGTTTATAGTAGTTTTGAAGAAACAGAGATGAGTTGGGTTTTGTATAAGAATTAATTCTTAATAAAGAGATGGATGGATTGCGTGAAAGGGGAAATGGTCAAGAAGGGAGTGATGACTGAGATGACGGATGGTAGAGTTATTTGGAGGAAAACCCGGTGCGCGAACCCTACGGCAGTAGGATAATATAGGGGCGATGATGATAAAAAATTACTTTGTGGTATTTAAATATTACATTTGTTTAATTTTGAATATTCAATTTCCCCAGATGTCGACGAATGCGCAGAAACTGGTGAGAATAACACCGCAGAAGGTAACCTTGGTCCTTGTGTAAACGCGGCCGCGTGCAACAATACAGCTGGAAGTTACGCGTGCGCTTGCCTCGCGGGGTGGACAGGGAGGGACTGCGAGGTGAACGTGGACGACTGTACGGGCCAATGCCTCAATGGAGCGACGTGCATCGATCTAGTTGACGACTTTCATTGCGCTTGCGCAGCTGGCTACGCAGGACGGACTTGCGCGAGAGATGTGGACGATTGTGCCTCCCGTCCTTGTAGGAATGGTGGCGAGTGTGTTGACCTTCTTGATGCCTATCGCTGTATTTGTCCTGTTGGATTCTCTGGAACGGATTGTGAGGTATGACCTTCAGTTTAATTACTTCTTTATATCATTATATGCTTCTGCTGCCTCACACTTTTCTGATTATCTATTATTTTCTTGTTTATCTCGTACTTTGGTGGTTGAAATTTATTCATGTGCCTTGGCTAATTATAATAATTTGATTTTCAGCTAACATGTATCCATTTATCATTGTTTTCCTTATAAGTGTACGAGTATGTTATCTAACTTAACGGTATGCATGTGTCACATTTTTCTGCCTAAAATTAATAACCATTTGCACTAAAACACTAACAAACTTCTGCTTCTAGCTACCATCCTGTTTTGGACGTTACTGCCGGGTGAGTTTTAAATGTAAGCCGTGTTTTATTTGAATTTTCATAAGAACATTGAAAACACATGGATCATGTTCATGTAAAATTAAGATGACAGGACAACCTAAAAGTAAAATTATAAAAACTACGGATACATCATCGATTTTTATTTTGTAACTTTGGTATAACTGAAACATTGTTGCTTATAGGACGACAGAGACCATTGTGCGGGGTCACCATGTGCTAACGGAGCACCGTGTTACACAGCTCAGAGTGACTACTACTGCCACTGCGCGCCCGGCTGGACTGGCAAGAACTGCACGCAGCGTGCTGCCAGGGATCGTAAGTACTGCTTTTTTTTGTACATCCTCTTCGTAGTCCTCTGGTTATTTCTCATTTGGCTTAATCTTATTTTTCTAGTTGTTGTTTATCCTATCTAACTTTTCATAAAGTTTAACTTAAGAACTATATCTGCTTTCAGAAGTTGACGAGTGCACCGCCAATCCTTGCCGAAACAACGCCACTTGCATCGCAAAGACCAACGGTTTCGCTTGTGTATGTCGAGAAGGGTGGACAGGTATGTCTATAAGTTTAATACTAAGGTTGTTGCGTTTTCTTTTGTGGGTTCTATTTCTATGTGAAATGTAGTAGGCATTAAATTTTAGCGTATATTGCAGGTGAAACTTGTTCTTTACGCTTGGAGGAACGCGATCGCTGCGAAGGACTTTGCGCCAACGGCGGCACTTGTATCAAAGAGCCTGGCGTTTGGAGATGCGCTTGTCCCGCTGGGTGGGCAGGGCCATCGTGTGAAACACCTATAGTTCCACTAGCTCCGCCTACTGTCCCCTCTCCTATCGCTCCGTTAGCTCCACCACCGACTACCAGCTGCGCTTGCGCACACGGAGGTTCTTGTATCCAGGCTGCTGTGCCATCTGGTTGGGCATGTGTGTGCCGCGAAGGATGGACTGGGACTAGATGCGAGCGGGCGGTTGACGGTTGTGCTTCAACCCCCTGTCGTAACGGTGGTCGATGCGTGGGGGGCGCCGGGTGGTGGACCTGCGAGTG